ACAATATTATAATCAGTCTACATGTGCAGTACAGTGTTTAATTTGTAAATACATAACATAGGAGTCAATAGGGAACATCAACTGCCTAAAGCACTAAAGCAAGAACGTCTAAGGTATGAAGCACTGTCATGGGACGCGTATTCGTTCTAATAACTTGTAGGCAACTAGAAGCCAGTCTACACTAGTTACGTGGCTGAGCGCATGTCGCAGATCCTCGAGATGAAAACGAACTTTGATGTACTTCCACAATCTTGCTAATCCGCAAGACTTTCTTGTACCTTTTATATGCAAGATGTTTTGGAATGCCCAATCATCTCGGTCAAATGATCTCAAGCTAAAAGTTTGAAAAAAAACACTGAATGTGATAGAATCGCCCACAAAATATCCCCACACCTTTCAACTAATAAATCCGTTTCTTTTGTAAAATTGACCATGCCTCAATAAAGTAAGTAAATATAATTTGTGCAACCCTTATGTAATACTTATGTTGTTTTAATGTGCCTTTCAGGGAGGAGGGAAGCAGAAAATTCGAACCTGGTAACTGGATCGCCCTCTCCCTTACCTAGCGACTGCGGCTCCCCTCCTTCTTGAATATTGTATTTTCCCTGTACATCTTGTCGTCTTTAATAAAGATGTCCAAAGTAAACCAACCGGGCTTGTCTAGGAACGCTAGGAATCGGGAAGCGGAGACCGAGGAGTCTCGCTCCACACTTATACTGTTTTATTTTACCTTTAAGAAAGGAGGTAAGGTTGCAATCGGAATCTGGCGATAGAGTGGTCGCCTCCCAAGCCCGAGTGCTAATGCGCTTCCTCCCCTCCCTAAACTTTGTACTTGTTTTCTTAATGCATTTTCTTCTAATAAATAGGCCAAAATTAAATCAACGGAACTGTTCTAAAAGCACTAGGAACAGGGAAGTGGAGACCTACGCGTCACGGCCTACATTCGAAGGTATTTCTTTTAATAATAATGTTCCTTCTGCGTGAGTTTTGTTTCATTTAATGTTTTTTTAACTCAAACCTAAAAAATTCCGGGAATGTTTAATTTTTTACCAAAAGGTGTGTGCATTACCTAATGCTTCCGAGGTTTCTTTTGAGTACACTTTAATCTACTTGTTCATCTAGCCCACGACATTAAATTTTTCTTGCTTTTTGTGCCTTTTGATCATAAATAGTCCTCCGCTTTACATTACTTGCATAACTTACTGAGACTGTGTTTAAAGTTTCTACAAACCCACCGCGCCTTATGTTTTTCTAAATATTGTCTGTGGTGGTGTTTCCTAGGTGGGTGCTTTTTTTGCTTAAGGCGAATGCTTATTGTGTAATTTGTCCTGTTTAGCAAGATGTTTTGATGGCTATTTGCAGTGTCTAGTCATCATGATATGGGTTCCACTGAATTCGGGCTACCGAAAATGTGGTTTATACAATGCCTTCATAGATGTATTCACTAGTTTCTAGCGAACGTTTTCTTTCCATTTTTTGGTTAATAAAATCGAGTTTAATCCATGTACTTGATCGATCAATTTCAGGCAGAAATGCTGAGGTTGGTGCTAGGCTTCTGTGCTGGGTTCTACTCTGGGGCCTATTACCAGGACAAATATAAGGTATTTGGGTCACCCTGCACCAGTTTACTCCTTTTGTCCTTCTGCAGATAACGCCTGTATGCGAACCAACGGAAATGTATAACAAGCTCCGGGAATACATAAATGACCTACTTGGTGGAAAGAAGAAGTAGTTTGTGATGCTGCGCTCTCATTTTTGACTTATTTTGTACTGCTTTGTTAAATACATGTTCTGATACCGGTTCTTATTTTTCTCTAGATTTTTTTTACGCATATCAATCGCAGCATATATCTAATTCCTCCTGTGCGTAGTACTGATAGGTCTCCGGTTTTTTAACTACAACTTTGCTCGAATTTCTATGCTGGTAATTGCATTCGACTGGATGCCTATCCTGTCAAACGCCGTACATTAGGGTGCAGTTTTTGCGGAAAAATTTACTGGGTTCATAGGCTACGGCGTTGCGATTTGTTCTGCACTTCATTGTTATTGCATCGGCATTTACTCTTAGGGTAGTACGCGTGGTTTTGAGCCCTTTTCTCACTTGCTAGATGGGTGGTAAATGTATCTCCGAAATGACTAACTCTCCGAAAATTGATTTTAGTTAAGTAGCAGTACTCTGAGTTTAGCCTCTTTAGATTCAGAGTTTCTTATATATCGGCGTTCAAATGTATGGCCGAAGCCGTGATGATAGTTGCATTTTGACATTGATATCCCCCATATTGACTCGCTGTTTTTCCTGCCTTCATTATCGGCTTCATTGAGCCTGTAGCTGAAGAATGTTCCTCCCCCACAACGCATCCATCTCTAGGATTGCTCTCGTTTTTTTCAGGCGGGGGATTTCTGCACCCTTCTCTCGCAGCAGATAGACATACCAAAGGAACGTTCCCTTCCATTTTTTATTTGTATCTCAAGTGTGGGTTTTGGTGGTGCCCAAGAAGATATTTTTCTTGCCACCATTCCCAGCCTCCTGAGTGGTCCTGCTTATGGTGGGCAAGCCACTTCAAGCCTCCTGATAGCTGCTGTACGACCGGCAAAGCAATACATGGCTCACCTCACCTCCCCCCTCCATCGCTCTGCAGGTCAGCACAAAATTTGCACTCTCGACCTGACAGATAGCTTCCTCGATTCATCCGTAACGGAAAGTGGTGAACATCTCTACAACTACTTACAAAAACGTGTTGGTTGTCTTTCTTAACTTGTGCATTTGTCATGTTTTAGTTGTAAAGCTGCTAAGGTCCCCGAAAAGGCGGATGAGATTTTGTGCAGACCTACTTTTTTATCACCTAGGTTACAAACTTCATCGATTCTGCTGGAAAAGGAAGAAAAATCTTCGTTTTCCTTGACGACCTAGCTGCTCTTACTGATCTCAACGTGCCGTCGAATAGACTTTTAGGCTCCCTCCTCGTTTCCAACCTTCATTGTCTCGTCGTCGGTTACCGTGGCCACGTTGACTTTGATAGCGATGATTTTCTCCTTCATTTAGCTCGTAGACGAGCCGAATTTTGCTTGGACGTGACAACCTTCGACAACCGCTACTCAGATTCCATTGAAGGGCAGGTGGGGTGTTTTGACTGCCAGCAGTACCACTGTTAAATGCCGTCTGTAGTCGTTGTCGGTGTCACTTTCTTCTGCCTGTTTGCAGCTGATAATTTCTCAGAAGAATCAGGAACATAACGAGGACAGGCCTATCAAACCTACAAAGTTCCTCTTTCGTGTGGTGGATCGTCGTATTCAATGCTACTATCCAGGTGCCTCTAGTCTGGTCAGTTGAATGCTACTCCCCTCCTCTCTTTCCTTTTCCTTATGTTGATGGTTGATGAACAACTTTTGGCATGAATCAAAGACACCGGTAATTTTGTCAGTGGTATATGCAAATTCTTCGTAGAAATAAGTTCCGCTATTCTTATTGTTACAACACCTACTTGGTAGGGACGTTGGGAATTATTCATACTTAATACCTCCCTTAGAAACTGAAAGTGGGAAGGGTAGTATCTGGCGCCACCTGGCCCCGACTTGTGACTTTCTATCAGACAAACCGGAGTTGTTGCCTTACGGTCGAGACGGCTGCAGAGTTTACATCACGTGAAGTGATCGAAGGAGGGATTAATATTGTTTTGATATGCGCTGCGTGTTGTGGGTAAAGTACACGTCGAAGGTGGATCTCCGTAGAATCATTGTCTATGAGTCGATTTAAAGTTTGAAGAATAGTGTGACAGGGAAGGGGGAGGGCGCCACCAGCTCATTCGGTCGCAGTGCGGCCCCAGTACTTGCTTAACTTTCCCTCTAGCTTTTCGGCATGATGAATCTGAAGGACCTGAGCTACCTCGGAAAACGGTACAAGTCAAAACGGTGGCGTGGGCTTGGGATAAAAATCTACCTGCTAGCGGCGTGAGCTACAACAATGAGAGCTATTTTGAGGAGGGACACTCGCCTAAATCTCTAATTGCGTTACCCGAAGGGACTCACTTCGCCTTTCCAGGTGGTCACCATTCTTTACAAGATCCATAGCGCTGTGAATATGCCTGCTGGTAGCTTTCTCAACGATGCCTTGTGTATGTCAGTCCATGAGATCCAAATGCGGAGAGAGGCGGAACCATATTTTGAGGATGCTATGAAGTATTTTAGCCATACGCCTCTGGATCACCCAGGCTGTATGAAAAAAGACAGTCATGACCGCAGGTAATGTCTTAATCCGAGGCTTGGCTGACCACAGATCCCAAGGAAGGCGTCCTCAACTCCCACTGAACCGCCGCGATGTAAGGTGATGGAAGCATAGCCCATTAGGCAAGTTGGATGCGCTTGACAGTAAATCGTCTTTAATCTTTTGGAAAATTTCGCATCTAAAGGTTCGCACAATTTGAGAATGACACGATTTAATGCAGTCATTCATCGAAAATTGGCGGGCGGATGTCACCTGCGTGACACTGAGGGCGGTGTCACTTACCTACGGCGATGGGGTAGCCAACCGACGGATTCAACAGAAAAGGCGAAGATGACAGTAGATCACTTGTCCCTCGGCAGAACAACGCTGTCACTGTAGAACAAAAAACTGGCGGTAAGAACTTTTTTGTAGGTAAGATAAACAAAGAACCTTTCGAAGAGAAGTCTGGAACGTCAGGGCTCGAGGTTCGTGAGGTCTGCACGCCGACATCAAATCGATTAGGCGGGACTGGAGCGTCGTGTCGGCCGCCGCGTGTTGTGAAATTGCGTGGCGTCTGGGGTGCTGAAGCCACCAGCAATGGAGGTGGATGTGAATGTGACCGACAACTTCACCACAGCCGATGCAGAGGTCTTCGCGACTACGGCCACCACTCTTTTTTACAATCCTCTAGAGGAATCGCCTTGGAGTGAACACAACTACTTCCTTGAAAATGGTGGGTTTGGGTCTGTTTTAAGCCCCAAATTTTTCTCCTTGTTGATGGTGAAAGTTTCGTCCTGTCTCACTCAACCAACTTGTTAGTTTCCTCACTAGTGACCTTGTCAGCAGTCTAGATTTTCGAGGTAGTTGAGGCTTCATGAAGTGCTCCTTTCTGCTCACTGATTCACTTCTTTGTCTCGGTCACCCTGCCAGCAGAGATTTTAGGGTTAATGAAAGTGCCCGAGAGGGCTGTCAAAAATTCGTCTCCTGGAACACCTCGAACGGACTACCATCAGGTGGGCTGGAATCCGGAATGCAGAAGTCGAGTCGTATTGGAGACCTTTACCGCACTCAAAAGTTAGGATAAACCTGTCACTATCGTACCCTCCTGTATCTGTAAAATTACAATTTCCGATTTTACTGGGGTCGACATTTCCATCGTTTTTCCAATCGCTTTTCCACCTCCATTAGCTACTACACTGAACGCCTTTCGTCCTCCCTACTCCCTCTCCCTCTTGGCGGCCTGGCAACCGCGGCATGCTGTGCACTACATCTCCGTTCTTCTCATCATCACCACCGTTCTGCTTCTGCGTGTCTTCAACATGGTCATCCGTCGCCTCATCACCACCGCAGTGCCCGAGTCCCTCGTTGCAATCTGTGTGGGAGTCGGCATCGGTTGGCTCCTCAAGTCCCTCCACAGCCCTCATTGTTGTTTGTGGGCTCTCACTCCCACGCTCTTCTTTATGATTCTCCTGCCTTTTTGCGTCTTTGACGCCTCCTACAACCTCTACAATCGAGCCTTCGGGGATTGCATCGGTGCCATCATTGTTTACGCTCTCTGCGCCACCGTCTTGAACATGATCATCATCGGTTGCCTTCTGGCGGGTGCCGAAATTGCCGGTATATTCAAGGCCGAGGGTCTCGTTTTTGGCACTCAAGTGCTTATGCTCTACGCTTCACTAATCGTGGCGGTGGATCCCGTCGCCGTGTTGATGGTATTCCATGAAATTGGTGTTGATCCAAACCTCTACTTTTTGGTGTTGGGAGAGTCCCTTCTTAACGACGCGGTTACTGTAGTGCTCTACAAAATTGTGGTCAACTTTCTAGGTCGAGATGATGTCACTGCACGTGACATACTCATTGGAATTGCTGCCTTCTTTATCATCAACGCAGGTGGAATTCTAGTCGGTCTGGTGTTTGGAGTCATCTCCTGTCTCATGACTAGGATTCAGACTCATTTGGAGATTGTTTACCTCTTTGCCGCCAACTATGCTGCCTACCTCCTGAGTGATGTGCTCGGATGGTCGGGTCTGGTAGCAATGATCACCTCAGGAATGATTCAAAGTAGCTACGCCTTCCACAATCTCAGTGACGCAGACAAGGGCACGTGTCGAGCCATGGCAAGGATGTTAGCAGACCTCTGCGAAAGCGTGACCTTCCTGCTAATCGGAGTGCACGTCACTTCAGGCAAGCTTCACTGGCACACTTCCTTCATCCTTTATCAACTAATTGTATGTCTCGTGGTTCGTGCAATGGTGGTCTACGCTCTCACCTGGTGTCTAAACCGATGGGATGTCAATTACGTGCAAATCTCCATCACAGAACAGTTTGTCCTCGCTTATGGGGGACTAAGAGGAGCGGTAGCCCTCTCCCTTGTCTACATGGTTGATCCAAAACTGGTTGATAGGGGACAAAGAGGGGTTCACGCCACCCTTACCACCGCAACTCTCTTCACCATTCTCTTCACTGTCGCTCTCATGGGTCCAACTATGAAACCATTGGTAAGACTACTTCGAGTGAAGCTGGCTAGCAAGAAGACGATCAGCCTGATGCGAGAACTCAACGAACGAATGATCGACGAGTTGAACTCGGGTGTGGAGGCTGTCACTGGTCATATGGGGCGGAACCGTCTACGCACCTGGTTCCAACGCGTTGATGAGAAGTACATTCGGTTAGTGCTTCAAAACACACCAGAGTTTCGCAATCAAAAAATTATTAAAGTGTATGAAGACATGGCACTGGTGCTGCATCAGGCCTCGTTAGATCCGAAGCGAGCGGATTTGATTATGGAGGAGTTACCGACTTCGGTGAAGGCGGCGTACCATGCTCAACGATTGGCGGATAAGGTGGAAGCCCTGCGACAACTACGGAGGTCAGCGTTGCGTCGCGGCAGCCGCTATCCGGGGGTGTCAATGTACGACTACCAGCATATGATTGATGAGAAGAGGCGTGAATTGATGGAGTTAACAACGCCGGGTGGAGCGTCTCCGCGCTTACCACGACGGAATGAGCCAGGAGGAGATAAAAGAGTGAAAAAGCCTTTAACTATAACCCAGACGACGGAGCAGGCGAGAACTCAGACGACTCCACCAACGCAAAAACTGCAACAACAGCTGCAGCACCAACATCAAGCGAAGAGACAGGACGCAAACCGTCGACCCTCTTTAAGATTTAAAAGGAGGAAGATGGAGGAGGAAGGCGAGGAGGCTGTGAAACCACAACCTAGACAGTCACATCAACCTCCTTCAGCTCCGTCATCACCACCACCGCCTTAATCTCCGCCTCTACCACGGCCTCCACCGCCATTAAAATTAGTCAAGGCCCGAATAGGCTTTCACTTCGTGTAAATACATGCGTGAAATTAAAAGTGGATTTATAAGCACAAAAGTGTTTTCTGTTTATCCCTATGCGGGGCTTAGTTTGGACCAAGTGAAAATCGCGGATGGTGATACGCCGGAGGCTCCGTCAGTTGGAGAGTACTTGGTGGGAAACCTCAGAGGAAGGCCAAATATGTGTTGGTTAACTTGTTTATGCGTATCAGGTAGTCATTTCTGCAAGATATGCTCCTCATGGATAAAATCATCTTCAATGACTTTCATGCATTGGAGCAGAAGTTGGATTACCAACTTATGTAAGTACACAACTAAGGAATTCATTCATCCCTGCAGCATGTATTGAGTTCCTCTCGATATAATTTCCCTTCTAAAATAGCGTGTACGAGGATTTTCATTTCGAGGAAGGGGGGCGTATTAGCTCCACAATAGCCTCCGTTGAAGGATGATGAAATGGAAGTGATCGACTGTTAGAATGCACTATGTTTTGTACATTTAGTGTTTTTTGCAAGAGATCGAAACCGTTTTGAACGGTTAAGAGTGCTGAGCAATCGCTCGAACATTTCAAATGAGGGAGTGGTAAGTATTCTGGAGGATGCAAATAGCATATCTTCGAGGTCATTGATATCGTCAGCCATCATTTTTTGCCAATTTTACCGGCAGATCAAGGTATGCAATCGTGTAGCGCCATTTTTTTTGCCTTCATGCATGATAAGGAGAAGCTATTGTCTTTGTGGTTTATGCACCGAATTTCGTCAAGCTACCTCAAATCAACACAATTCGTAGGCAGCGGAAAGGCATCACTGTTTCAGGTTCCACAGAGTAAAAAATAAATTTAGGCAGATTGTTGCCTAGTGGTTTCAAGTTCACCGCACCTTAAAATGATCCAGAAAGCTTCCCCACAGGTGTTGGTGATGAGTCAGCAAATTTGTCGATTTAATCGACTGATCGTTTTCCACATGTTTGCTTTACTTACGCGGGCAACAAATCAGTATCCGATCGATTTTTCTTACCCATTACGGCGTGACTTTCGAATCGGTCATGCAAGCGCCGTTGCCAGGGTAACAAGGCGAAGTATTTAGCTTTGCCACATTTTTAACTTAAATTTAATAATGATATCAGCACACTGAAAGTTAAATAATTAAGGAATTTACTTAAAAGGAACGATTCAACGCTCTGCAGAAACTTGAGAAAAAAATGACAAGAGATTGAATTGAGTGGTTTTTTCTGAAAAAAGTCAAATTTCACATTACAAATAAAGTATCCACACGGAGCCACACACAGTGTGACCCACTAACCTCACCCCTACTCCTTCCTTCCTCGCCTTCTCAATCTCCATCCCGACTTTCTCCTGCAACCTCGCCTCCGCATTCTCGTCGGAAAGTGTGGCCTCCATCAGCTGAGAAGCCATCTTTAGAACCTGGACTTTCTTATCCGTCAGAAATTTCGGTATCTCACAAATAAACTGAATCTCTGCAAACTTCTGTGTGGCACTCTGCCATAACCATAACCTAATTCCAACAACGAAGAAATGGGCTGCAGAGAACTGAGTCATCTCCTGCACCTCCACTCTGGTTGCTTCGCGTTCCATATTTATCTCTTTAAAGTGAGATAGCTGGTAGGTGGCAGGCAGATTGCGCATTATTGATGCAGTTTTATAAGGCGATTGAAGAGAGGATAGATGGAGAATCAGTGCCATCCCCCCGTAGACCTTAGCAATCCCTCGTCCAAGCATACAAAACGGGCTCAAAAGGAATTGCGTCCATGGCAACCGATGATCACTACCACACCCACTGCGATCTCGTCAATCATTCCCTCGCTGAGTTTTGCGAAGGGCTAATTTGACGTGGAGGATTTTTACAAGAGGTTGCTTTGTTAAACCCATCACTCCAACAGTTAAGAGCATCGTGAAGAGAGCTGAGGTAACCAGGGTGTCGTAGACACGTTGTTTGACCTTCTGTCCGTCCACCACTGTAACGAGGGAAAGAGCCACAGCTCCACTTAACTCGCCATAGGCTAGGATAAGTCTCTCCGTCGGGCTTATTTCAGTGATATTCAGGTAGAAGAGATTTATGTAGAGACTCACCACAAGGGCACGAACCACCAAGCAAGTAAGTAGGGACCAGAGATTGAAAAACACGTGCCAATAGAGCTGCTTTTCAAGTAATTTGATCCTAAAGGTAAGGAAGATGATACCTTTAGATATCCCGCCTAGCTGACGAGTGTTGTAGCTATGCGTATGACGATCATCGACCTCCAAATTATGGAATGCGTAGGCATCTTGAAACATGGCACAGGTAATCAGGGCAACCGGTCCGGACCACTCCAAGATGTCGCTGGGTATGTGGGACATGTAGGTGATACTGGGAAGAAAAACAGCTTCAAAATACGTCCGATGTTTGGTGACTAAGTAGGCTAGGACTCCCAGCACAACACGCACTAGAATGGCGCTAAGATTGATGGTGAAGAAGACCCCAAGGCAGATTCATATAGCCCTAACGGGACGCCTCTAGAATCGAGAAATTGTTGGACGATTTCATAGAGTATGGTAGTTATATCATCATTGAGTAGGGATTCGCCAAGAGCTAGATAGTGGAACATCATCGAACAGTGCCAGCATGGCTAGAGGGAGTACGGCGACAATGAAGGAGGCGTAGAGGAAGAGCGCCTGAGCGAATAAAAGGTATTTCACCTGCAGCAAAGAAACCAAACCGCTTCAGACCTATGAGGCATAAACCAATGAGATCCATGCTGAGGACGGTTGCCACGACGGCATAGACAACAACTCCTACGATAGTGTCGACAAAAGCACGGTCATGAAGGTGGTAGGCGGCGTCTAAGACAGTCATTGGAAGGGGGTAGGTGAGAAAAGTATGAGGGGTAATTTCTCACAACCCGCTGTCAATGTCTTCGGGCAGAACATGGGTCATCACTGCGCCAAACATGGCTTCACGGCAGGCGAGGCGAAGCAACTTCAGAATGACGTTAAACAGACGACAGGCAGCGATGATGAGGAGGAGGTGAAGAATGGACAACTGACCTCTGCACTTGTACCACTCCCAGTTCACCAGGAAGTCCAGGTGGTCCTACCACTCTGAAGCCATTTAATCCTAAAAGTTCCCCAAAATATTACATTATTACAACTCATGTCTTTCTGCAGGTGCCACCCCTTTCGATACCGGGTTTTAATACCGTCATTTTGGTCTTATGCGGTAAAAAACAGTCATATTTTACAGTAGAAAGATAAAATTTCGTGGTTTTTACAGCTGTGCCCTGCATTTGGTGTTGGAACCAACTCATTTCTCTCCTCGACTGACCTGGGGTCAGTAAAGGCAGGCGAGCATTATGGTGCACTACATGACATGGACTGCAGATGTACCTACGAGTAAACTAAATCCATTTACAGTATAATTTGAAATTTTTTGTCATACGAGGAAACGTGCAATGTGTGTTAGATGCATACATAAGCGAATGTCAGAGACAGACAATAACATACCAAAGAGTAAGGTGGGAATCACATTTTAGTGGAGCGCCATTTATGTGATTTGCCTGAAGGTCAAGAGTGATTTGGCAGGCGTCTCCACAGGGCAAACAGGGTCCACTTTTCTCACCGATGGTTCCTTTCACCTTATACTTACATATTGGCTTTAGCCTGATTCTCGCAGCTAGTAAATAAGCCATAAAATAAACACCAATTGTCAGGATTATTCCACCAAGTAGTAGATAGTGCTGATTGCGTAACAGGCTCCGTGTTACTGTCTCCGCCCCCTCCCTGTAGTCTTCATGCCCTTGGAATGCGCAGACGGTTGTACGGGTTGCGTTAATAAAAGGGGTACAGTTGTCACGGCTATTCGTTTATTCCTTAGGGGTTGATGTTTTCGGTTTGATGGGCCATGAGGTTAATACTTTCTGACCTCCTCTCGCCAAGGAAGTATACCCATAAAGCTATATATTACAATTGATCCGAAGGCGGTAACTTTATCAAAATGGAGACAAAGAAGAAACACCCAACTCCAACACCCACCAACGACCAATAAACCGATAATCACTCATGCTATTGGATTCCATTTATCATATCGCAAAACTGTTCTGCCAATGAAATGCCCTCTCAAAATGCACCAATCCCATTGCCACTTCTTCAGTTTTGATTGGTTCCTATAAGCGATATCGATATTCACCACCTTCTCCATCATAAGCATCCAAGCAAGAGATTCTGAGGATTTGAGGAAGCCTTATTAAGAAAGTACTTAATAATGTATTATTGCTGGCCAGGTTTTTTAGCGTAAAATTGCATCTTTTCATCTTTTAAACCACAGTTTTCATAGAATAAATGATTTTCTGGTTTCTCCTGTTTAACAATTATCTTTTCTGACAGAAATAATTACTGTAAGTTGCCAAGCTCAATCCATCGCGCAACAATTCCCAAATTTTAATTATTGCAGCAGAAGTGTACACAAACCCAACACCATTTGGCAATGCCAGTGCAAGTGGAGCTGCTGCTATGGATCGTAGACAGAGCTTACACTCCGTTACGGAGGACTGATATGCAGGCGGCTAGTACCTGAGTCGTTGCTGTACTTCGATCGTTTGATCACGCACGAGTCATCCATGGTCTATGATACTGTGGCACGACTGACCCACGTCTGTGAGCACAAAAACCCAATTTAAATGCATTAAATAATGTTCATCTTTAACCTTTGCGAATAAAACTCAAAAACCCTAGGTTGTCATCCCCTTGAACCCAAATAAAATCTTTCCGCATCCAGGTCTCTTTTCTTACTGACTTGGGTAAAGGGGAGAAAGCAAAGCAAAAATAAGTCTATTTTTCCACAAGCTTAATAGATTCTTAATATAAAAGAACTGAGTATTTTGGTCAAATGGATATCCCTCCCCACAGCCATGGAGGTTTATCCAAAAGCTACAAACAGCGGCACATTATTTTTTGTCCTTTTTGGAAACCTTAAATCCCTTGCTTTTATTGTCCGACCCACTTTTCTTGCTCTCTTTACTCTTTTTTCCCTTCTCCGAATTTGCTGAGGCAGAAGGAGTTGATTGCTCTGGACGGCTCTCCGCGAACCACGCATACCTAATGGTCCACTCCCGAGCCATTGTCTCAAATTTTGTTCTTGAGTTTTCCATCATAATTGCAATCTGTGGATTTACTGCGTTCTCAGCCATAGGAAAGGCCATCAGTGAAAGAATAGACAGGACTACTAGGAAAGGTGAACTCACACTTGGAACCCAAAACCTACTCTTCGCTATAGTAATTCGAGGAGTCCAACCATTTCGCAGTATGTCAAGGCAAATCTCTCCATATTCTGTGATATTTGGATGGAAAATTGAGGTCTCGAAAATTACTGCAGGTGGGCTCCGAGGAAAATCTTCAGGAAATCTGATGGCCAATATGAACCTTCCTCCTTCGTAAGGGGAATCGGGCTAAAGCAGATTGGCTTTTAATGTCTACCCCTCTTACCGGACCATTTATTCGGGCATTCCATATGAAAACTGGCCAAGTGAAAATAATGTATTACTTTCCTACCGTTATTTGGGTCTGGAATTGTGATGGTGCAATATTCGAGTTTATCCTGCTGTACATCATAGAACTCCTAATTTTGTGGTCATTTAAAAATTGTTATAAGTTAAACTTTTCTAATTCTGGATGAAGGATCCCACGGATATAGACAATGGTCCATTCCCAGATCCACAACCGTCACACGAGATCTAGGCAATAACTTAAAGTAGATACACGGTCACAAGGCAGCACTAAATTAGAATTATTAAACCATTCCGAGTAATTGGCCTCTCGTGGTGCAAAATTGGCTTCCATTGATGGGTTTATTCAACAAAGTAATCCAAAAAAAAATAGAAATGATCTGTGGTGCTGTGGTCGAAAAATACTTGTGGCATTACTTATTAAGGTGCAAATCCAGCCAGAATTAAACAGAATTAAACAGAATTAAAATAGTCCGATTGTGATCATCTGGGGTTCCCAGTGTGTGCTGAACCTTACGGCAAATGCGAATGTAACGTATGACCTATTTCAATGCCATGTTTTAAAAACAGTTGCAAATAATCCCAACTTTTTTGCAATAGTAACCAAAACACCCCATCTTAGCCATTTAAGAGGATTAGATCCAAGTAATTTTACTTGTGGCTGCAGTTAAATAAAAGCTTTCGATGCTACCATCCATCCACCAATAATATCACTAGTATATATTGTGTGCAGTGAATTGTTTAACAAAAGCACAACTAATCTCTTTAATTTTGGAGTATAATGTGATGTTTTAAAATGTGCTTGATAACCTTGAAAAATTGTTTTAAGTCTCTTCTTTGTTGGAGCGTTTTCGACGGTAGCGGCGGCACTTTGCGCGTGTGGGTTGGGTTCATGCTGGCTCTTACTGGGATTTTGTTCCTCATTCACTAGCTATTTTTACTCCTTTTCTTCTTTCACAAATGTTGCCTGACTCAAGACATGGGCAACTGCATGAATAAGTGCCAGAGAACCATGGGAGCGGAAGAACACCACCCGATCACCCCCCACACCGAACGTCCCCTACCTCCCCGACCTCTCTCGGGTAACCTTCCCAACGGATCACCTGACACCTTGTGCTTGGAACCCATCTCCAATATCGTGGACAATGAGCCTTATCCCTTCAGTTTCACTAGCACACCTCCCCCCAAATCCCGTCAAGTCTTCACGGGTTACCACGCGGATTCTAGGGATAAAGTGAACATCTTCCCCTCCCATGACTCACCCATTGCCTTTTCTTCCAACCGGCCTGTAGCTGTGACCTGCGCACCTTGTGTTTCTTCTGCCTGTCCCCAATTTCATCCCCCTCTCGTCTCTATTGCGCAACGCGTCCCTAGTAGCCTGCTCTCCAGTCACAGTTCCCGTTCTCACTCCTTACCCCGTGCTAATGGCAACGGTGGTACGCCTAAAAACTCCATTCCCTACTCCCCAGCCATGACCACTCGTAATTTAGAATCAGAGTCGCACTTCAAGCGCAGCGTTGAATTCCGTAATTCTCCGCGTACGCCGCGGGACGATGTAACCGAACGGTTTCACCGAGCAAGCATCGGCGCATCGATTGATACGCGCAGCGCGGCGCGACATCCGTTTGCTGATCCGCAATCTAATCCTTCCGAGTTGTCGAATCGTCTGGTTGCAATTTTTGACTACAATGCGAGGACAGATGAAGAGATCTCGTTGAGGAAGGGAGACTCTATGCTAACTCTTAATGACAGGTTAGTTTCTACACTGTAAAGTACCTCAAATTTTGCTATATCTTCTTGGAACATGTTGGCTTACTCATTATGTAGAATGTGGGTCTGCAAAAAGCTGTATTTTCATTATTATCGAAGGCCTATCTGCTAGATGCGACATATGCTGATATTTACAGTTTCATTAAGAATAAGAGAAGACAAGTCGTTGCACTATTTTCATTGTACTGCGGCGTTTTTTCCAACAGGTTGAAAGTATGAAAAACTCCAGTTGTGGTTGAGGGTTCTGTTTTCTTCATAAGTTTACCGAAGTATTTTCAAACTTGAACAATGTGAATCGGAAAAATATCATAAGGGCAGTGCTGGGGGTCTGTAGGTTTAGACCTCTGGTAATAGCTTGATAAGATGGGTCTAGACAACACACTTCAATTTCATGGGTACCGCTGTGGTCACTGCGGTAAACATCTACTTGGTAGGTCTGTTGTCTGCTTTGTTTTCTTCCTACAAACATCGCGGACTATTTCAACAGTGTTTACCTTTCGATCTGGACGGTGGTTCACTCTTATCTTTAGTTAACCTAAAACATCAGACGCCAATTTTTATTTGCTTTTTCCTCCCTACCCTGTTGGTGACGAGTTTTTTTAATAAATGTTTAGAGCAACAGTTTATTCACCAATTTTTTCCTGAAATTTTTCCATATTTGTTGCTTAACATGATAGATCTGCAAATAGTAGTACTGTTACAGTGGTGGCGAAGAATTAGACGTTAAGAGCGTCATCAAACGATGCAACTGTGGCTCCAAAAGATGCGGAGAACATACCACACTTTTCGGTGGCAAGTTTTATAATGCTTTTTACCTTTTTTCCTAAAAAGCATTGTAATTTGTCACATTTCAACAGCCTTAATTTTCTGATTAGAAGTAATTTGTTTGGAATGTAAAACTTTGGTTTAGAGGCATCTTAATTCCGCTCCTTGTTCACAACAGTTTCCTTGTAACTGAGGTCGCGTAGGACATAAATTTGGCGCTTAGGTTTCTAAGAGGTAAAACTGGGTTGTCTTTGTCTTCCTTTCTGTTTATTCACACTGCGTCTACAGCATCGTTGGCCGGTGGCGGAAACCATTTTAATGTAGAAATGACCATTTATCTTGGAGAAAAGATCGGACGGTTCATGCCTAATGACCTGACCTTTTACACAACAACAAATGGGGATTGAACGCGATAGAGATGAGTTGGTGGTTAAAAACGTTTTATAATTGAAAGTATCGCTGGTGGTTTCATTTGACAGTTTGGGGTGGATCGTTTTAACCTTGAGCGCTTTTAAAACGCTTTCAGCAGGTAGCTCTTTCTCAAAATAAGTTGGTGTTGAAATGCCTTCTGAACCGTGACAGGATCCAGCTGGTCTTTATGGAACACTGGTGATCCGCAACTCAGCGCAAAACTCAGCAACTCCCAACTCTGCGGAAAAGGTGCAGGTTGTTTTCAAAGTGTCGTCTATTAGAGCTTTGGGACATTGGTTTATGGACAACTTTTCAGGGCTCTCTGCGGCAAGATAAAACTGGATTGGCAATTTCACTCAATCTTGAATGGAAAGCGGATGATCGTAGGCGTTTTAACTGTTGCTTTTTGGATCACAGTTAGTGGGCTATCATTTCTCTGGACACATTACGACTCTTCTGGACGGTCGCTTGGTAATCAAAATTGCGTCAGAAAAAAAATTGCATTTTTCACTTCTAAGGTGCATAGTTGGGTCACCCCACCTCCTGCCGCCCTTTGTCTGCTACCTCTCCTGTCTGTGAGGTGATCACCCACGTAGAGCGATTCGGCATTAAATTCCTAATTTTTGGGATGTTTTATGATCCTATTCCCTTAAAAACTACCCAAGGGAGAAACTGGGTAGGAAGTTTTTGTACCCAGCTCTCATGGCAGAAACCTCCTCCGTGTTTCGAATTAACGCTGAAATTGGATGCTCAATGGCATTCGCTATTTAGATTGTGCCAAAAAATTATAGAATGATCGTTTGAGCTCCTGAAGTTCTAATGGCACACACTAGAAGTTGCTTTTTTTCTCAGGCCAAAATGTTGTTGAAATGTCGTAAGAATCTGCATTTTTGTTGTGAAATATTCTGATTGTTAGGTAAGGAAATAATTCCATCAGAAATGATGGAAACTAATTATTGGGAACATCCAAATCCCCCAGAGGTAGGTAGTTCCCCCCTTCCTTCCTCTTCCTTGCTTTCTTCCTTCCCAAAGTTGGACAATCGTGCTTCTTAAAGCGTAGTTGACAACATTTCGTTGTCTCTTGAGTGAGTTTGTTGTTATCCCTTCAGTGACGCCGAGTGGTGGTTCGTGGAACACTGCAGAACCTCCGAGAAGGGTTACGTTCCATCCTCCTACATTGCTGTGGCGGGTTCTCTTGAGGCCGAAGAGTAAGTCAAGAAAATCTATCTCATTTGTTTTTCCCTTTTTTCTTCTCGTCAGACACATTCTAGGGGGTAAATCCAGAAGATAGATATCTTGCTCTCCATTGGGTCTATAAGTCGTTTAGACTTCCAGGTCAAATGACATGTTCAAGCCTGTATCCCCCATACCTAGAATGATCCTTCTGGGCGTGGCCCCATAATTATTATTGGGGTGTTCTATTCGATGTTAAAATTGGGGATAAAACAATGGAGTTATTGACCCCACTTCTGAAGGCTGAGCTTCCATGCTTTTTTTAGTTTCTTGACAAATGAGTGTTGAATGTTGGCAGCAAATGTTCGTACCTCCCTGTCGGTTAATTGGGTAGTTATCTGCTTCCAACTTTGCCAAGTTTGTGGTTGTCAAGAGTTCAAGCGTGGACAGATGGAAATCTTTGCATTCGGTCCTACTGAAACATCTCCCGTTCTTGGGACTCATGTTTGCGCTTCTTCATTCCCCGTGCCCGTTGGTGGAGTTCACTAGACATCTGAGGTGCTCTGCCTGCGTCACACCAGTATTGAGACCACCTTTAAGCTTTTCCATCGACTCGTTAGCTGTTTGGTTCTGGCTCGTTTTCTCCGTCTCAATCCACCGTGTCCTGTCTTAGCGCATTCAAGTTTTAAACTTTTGCTTTCATGGGAGGCCTGCACTCCACAATTGGCGTCTTCTTTGCAGCTTCGGGCAGAGGAGCTCTTTTCCAATCCGGGTCGTAGTACTTGTCACTTCTGTAGATGCACAATTGAAGTTCAGAGGTCTTTATTCCTGTTTTAGATGTATCTTAGAGCTTGCCAAATCACATCTTTGTTCAGGTAGTTCTAGGTCCATCGGCCTATCCAACAGCCTCCCATTGGCAACATCGTAGAAGCATTCTCGAACTCTCATGAAATGGCTTTGTTAGATGTAGATGGAATTTTTTTCCACTTAAAACAACGTGGTTCCTCATTTTTCTGGGCGGAGTTCTGATAACTTCAAGATGTTACAAAGTTACATTGCGAGAATCACGTTCTTGTTTCAAGGGCCCTCGCAAAATTCTTCAATCACTCCTGTTTTTATTTTCGTTAAATTCCGCTGGGTCATTTCCTGTCCTCAAACTTCTTGTATCCTCGTTTCATTTCCTCTTTCATCCTTCCTCAATGCTCTATACTTTTCTGTAAAATCGTCTTCAAGACATCAACTAGATATTGTGGAATTAGAAAGGAAGCTGTCGTGGTGTTTCTAAATTCTCTAGCCTTCCTTCAAACTAACACGCCTTCATGATAGTACCTACCGATCTGTCAGTCATCCGATCCCTGATCCAAATCCACAAACGGAGCCAAATCCGGCTGATTTCACTCCTTTGTTCTTCTCCAGGTGGTACATACCGAAGATCTCGCGGAAGGACTCTGAACGTCTTCTTTTGTTGAACAGCAACACTCCTGGCACCTTCATGATTCGTGACAGTGAAACAGCTCAGGGTGAGTCTCATTTTGGCCATTCGTTGATGCTTTTACGCATTGTTGAAGGACTTTCGCAAGAGTAGGATTGGCAGGCAACCCCTGGAACTGAGTTCTCTTTCTCCTTAACCATCCAGCTCCTCCGATCCCTTTAATTTGATTTTCAAAACAATCCATATAATGTAGTGGTGGTGGTAGTAGTGATGAAAGTAGTCTGTGGAGGGACTTCACCGGTCACACTATTGATAGATGGGGGCATTTTTTGACCTGTTGAACAGTACCTCCTGTCTCATCCGACCACTTTGACAGGTCTTATGTGGAGTGGGTGTCAGGCCTGGTAAGTGTGTTGGCCCACTCAATTCGTGCGGTTTGAAGATGCGTCTGGGGTAGGTTTTGAAAATAGAGGAAGAGCCTTGCGATTGACAATAGTCATGTCCCTTCTTCAGTTGGGTGGATTCTGTGATCGAATACAAAATTGATGGGGTTTCCATAGACCTTCCCCTTCCCCTTTCAGAAGTAGTCTGATCACGGAGGTCTATCAAAAAAGTCTTTCCATTCCGTTAGAAAAGGAGAGTTGGCAGTTGATTGTGTGTGAGCTTCCCATGGGGCTACCTCCATCGCGTCAACCAGATGCCCTTTTGGCTTGGCATGAGATGTCACCTTGACACTTGTCGCGCAACCCGTGTTACATGAATTGAACCAAAGAGTGAGGGACAGCGTCCCCTAATGCGCCTCATGGGGGCCTAAATTAATCTTCTTCTTCATTAGCTGGACATTATGGTGATTAAATTCCTTCTAGAAGAGTCGGCTTCATCCACGACTGTAAGAGTTGAAGAAAGGGCCACGGAAGTGATTAAGGACACGAATGCTTGAAAGGGTTATCAAAATAATGGAAAGCTGAGAGGGAGGAGTAGTAGCTGGCGTTGTTTGAGTAGGCCGACTGCTATTCCCATCTAGTATGCATTGTCACACTGTGGAGTTGAGATGGTTTTGAATCTATCGTGGATCAGTTTTTCCGCAAGAGGGATAGGGTTTGAACATGGTCAAGCTATTGGGTATGTCAAAGTAAGGATGCTCTGGGTGTCCGGCTCCATAGCTGTTTTGGAAAATGGAGAAAAGTAACCATTGAATGCTGGGTCCACATCTGTCCTGTTTCATGACAGCCTCAAATCCCAGTCAAGTACGTCCCCGGGTCACTACCTGCACAAAATCGGTTTTAAAGAAGACCTGACCCTCCCTTGAATCGATCTCTGAGGCAAAATTTTCACGATGGAATCATATCATCTAGCCCGATGTCGAAAGGATGTCCTAAAACTACTTAGCTAATTTTTATACTTGAAAAGTGACCTTTTTGTGCTCATACAGTGGCCCATAAGGCCTCCTGGGACTTCACAAAGGAAGTGGTTTCATGAGGGCTTATCTTTTCAGACGTGAACACAGGAGAGACCCTTGCACATCACCCAATATCGGTTCACTCACCGAGAGGAGTTTAGCGGGTCCGTGTGAATCAGGAAAACGATACCCTTGGAGTGACTAATATCTGACATTTTGAAGGTGTTGAATTCGTCTTCCAACTTACCAATTGATTGGTGACTATCTGTCCGGGATGACAAGATTCACCTTTTTCTTCATCGATGACCAATCAACTCCGTGTAAATAGTTTTCAGGAGCGAAAAAAAAAGAATCTTTTCAACCATAGATCCTTTGTAAAAAGAAAGTTCCTTCTTAATACACCTTCTCACTGTTGAAGGGAGAGGAGTGAGGGCGGGTAAGTCATGATTCCGCGTGTCCGATAAGCAGTACTTGGGCAAATTTAGTAACCGCCTCGCGCGTGTGTTCTGGCTGATACGACGCGCGTGCAGGGCAGATGAGTCAGTGAGGATTCCTCGGCTTTTGATTGGTGCATTTCCCGTTTTATCAAACAATAACGGGAATGGTACATTTTAACTACACCTGTGTACACAATCGTGCCACCTCTCGGCATTTTTCTCGTTACTGTACCTATCATCAACTCTCTGGCGTGGACTTTTATCTGATGACTTCATCCTGTCATTAGGGTATGTCAGTTTTTGCGTTAATGTGCGGCTAATTTTTTTTGTATCACCACATTCAACTGAAAGGCGGCTTTTGATCTTTGTCGACTCTGTTAGGTGCTTTGGTATCTACTCCTGTAGGCTGTGTCAATTTGATCTACGTGGTTTGCTAGAATTGGCGTTGCTGGATTTGGATCCAAGAATCGTCTAAGCTGCTTGTCTTTATCGCCAGGATAGGAATGAAGTATCCTACGCTTAAATCCTCCAAATAATTGGAACTAACCTCGTTTCGTGCCTAGAATTGCACTTTTTTAAAAAAGTTTGACATTTCTGCTTACCGCAGGGACGAAGCTAATTAAAGAAGGTGCACACTGGATGCAAATCCGCATACAAGCGTACGATTTTGTTCCAAGAAATCTCGGCCACTTTCTCAGCTGCCTACACTTCTGGGTTACTTTTTTATGGTCAAGATCTACAAGGTGTTGGTGGACTCCGTTTATTCTGTGTGAATTTGTAGTTTTCATTTACTCATGAATCCATTTAACAGTGCCTAGGTTATTATGTAGCGCACCGAGACTTCCTTGAAGCCGAATGAAGACGTAATACTGGGGCAGAATATGTTTTGCCGGGGTATAGAAGGGCTGCGGGGCTATTGTCATAGCCCGGAGGTCCACGAAGCATAGCTCCTTCCCTCTTCATTTGAGCGTTGCCCCCGTCGCTCCCCTTGATCAACCTTCCGCGTCGGCCACCACAGCGTAATTGGTGCTGTAAGAAGAAGCCTCCACGAACCAATTGTGCTGGTCGTCGGATTTCCATGCAACTGAGGAGGTACTTGATAGCAATGTCACCAATCCCTCTTGGCAATTTAACTGGATTTGCTTGGGCACTGGATTGTAGGGAAGAGTGAATGTGCTGACCGTCACGCGTGTCCATCGCTAGTCGTAGGCACATCGGCCTGAAAGCAGTTATGGAACAAAAGACGGGATCTGCCATAGTTCCATGGGTGTAAGGTTTTGCGTCCATTCCTCCTGGCCGCTTTGTTCACGCTTCAATGCTGCCTGGGCGCATCTATCAGGGCTCCATCCGTCTATCAGAGAAGTGGAGGAGGTATTGCGTTTTCCAGGTACGGTCTACAGCTCCGTAAGGACTATTTTCAGATAGTTCATGGCTAGTGTCATTTCACTTGTTAGTAGCTTTCCTGCAGACCACGAGACTGGGGTAGTTACCGAAGGTGGGCTTCATTTTCAACCCTTCTGTCATGGGTCGTCACCGACTTGCCTATCCATAGCATATGCACTTCTTCCTTCACGCCAAAGTCTATCACCTAGCAGTGGAAGTCAGGATAGATGCCTCCTAGGGTCGGGTTTGCTTCCCGCTGCCACCAATGTAGTGCCCCGAGGCTTCTCTGAAGACGAAAGGGGACATAATGCAAGGGCAGACTGTGTATCGTCAGAGACCGGAACGGTTAGGGGAAGCTACGGACATGGCCTGGAGGCTATCTCACCTAGTAGAAGCCCAAAGGCGGAGCCCCTCAAGTGCCCGCTAATCCGAACCAGCGGTTTAAACAAACATTCAATGTATTTCGATTATCCCTACCCCTTATCAGGTGAGAAACTTTTCCTTTCTAATATCATCCAGAGGTGAGGTCTTTCTTGCTGAATATTCTTCGGCCACTCTGTGCAGGAATAGCTTGGTGGTAGGTTAGGATCAGAGTCGATGTCCGGATTCCCTCCTGAAACCTCCCAGTTGATGCGGCATTTCGAGTTATTATTGCGTTTACTGGCCGAATGCGACCTTTGAAGTTGTGTCGATTCCACCTGTTGTTTGAAATGTCAACATGACCTATTTTAGTGGAAATGATTTATTGTAGGAGCAAGTTGTCATCCTTTTTGTATCAAGTAGAGCTTCCTGGCTGAAGTGTTTACTCTTTTTCAATCTGTCTCATGCAGTCTCTTACTTCCCTTATTACCTACTGCTGTGCTAGCATTCAAAATGAGTTGATTTGAAGACTCTCTTACACTTCTCGACCACTTTTCTCTCACAATTTGGGTTTAACCGTATTTGGTGGTTGCTATAGATATAACAATAAAACCGATTTTGCTGAATCCTGTGAATAGATGCTTGTTCTCCTCCCTACTCTCCGCATTTTTTGACGCTTCCTCATGACTGATTCATGCAGTCAAATGGAAAGTCGGATCTTTTGAGGGAGGGTGGCGACGCCGTGCCTCGTCACCAAAGAAGACCTTTGTTCAAAAATCTAGTCACGGTACCTAAAGAGACATTGTCTTTTTTCTTATTAAATGGAAACGTGAGGATTTTGGGTTAGCTTCCACTTCTTCTAACGCGTTGGTGGAGGATCTCCATTTAGAAAAAAAAATATCAATTCACTGAAAGACCGATTTTGGTTAGGGAAAAGAAGACGTATCTCCTCATTCCTTTATCCTGATAGTTATCAGGATCTTGCGTCAGATCTGCATCATCTCCACCTCCTATTTGCCCAAGCCCCGCCTTTGATTTGACCGCCCATTGTCTACTGTCTGGTCTTTTATGACAACGCCACGAATGCGGAGGTGGATTGTAGAGGGAGTAATGGCCATTTAAGTACCTTCCCCCATTTTACTCCTCGCTCGGGAACAGGAAACACATTCAGCCACTTTTCGGAATAGCGGATTCCCTTCTTTCGGTGATAGTGGAAAAAGGCGTGCTTCCTCGAAACCGGAGACCCATCATCAGTGAAGTAAGATTTATTTTTATCGCCATGTGACTCGTTGAAGTCATTGATACCAACACCTGCAACTGTTTGGACTTCTTTGTGGATCCTAGAATCGTGAATGGAATTGGGATTAGATTGCAGACCAATTTTGTCCGGATTTCTTGCAAAGCAAGTGGATATTATCGTGTGGAGACACCAGGAAGTATAGGTCCTTGTCGGATTTTGATATTGTTGGTCTGAGCGATCTTCAGCCATCACCGGTCCTCCTTTTTTTGCTCAGTCTCAAATGGTTAACTGTCGGCGCGTAAGTAATTCTTTCTGAGCTCAACTCTTTCCTCGCATCAGCTAACTGTTTACAATCGCCTTGTGTCGTCGTAGTCAACGCCACTGCCTCTGCCACAAACTGGCATCTCCTCTCCTTCCACCTCCCTTCCCCCCCCCCCCTCCTTCAAGTCACTTCACTCCTTGCAACCACCCATTCTCTCCACCTCACCTCGCTTCGTCGTATTTCGATTAGATTGGAAGAAGATGCGTCCGTTCCGATATCGACAAACTGTGAAGAGCAAGTTTGATCATGAAGCCGCTGAGTGTTGGAAGGTAACGATGAGACTTAACTTCAATCCACCTAACCAAAACTTCTGCCTGAACTTTCAAAACTGGATCAAAAAACATTTCCCCTTTCACAATCATCCTGAAGTTGATTTTAAGTTAGTGGAGTAACCTTTTGTAGGTCAGTGACCTAATCTGATTTCCATCCATTGACAAGGGGGACTGGGCGATGGAATCTTTATAAGTAAATCTGAGGCCAGACTTGAGAAATTTTTCACGGTTTCCTCAAATTTTGCCTCCAACGAGGTCTACAATTTTGCTTGAAGCCAGTGTATCTTTGCAGTCAGCTTTATTCAACTAGGTCCCTTTTTTCCTGTATTAATATGTTACAAATCTCTGCCTATACTGAATACCTTTCCACCCATATTCGACCACCGCCGTCCTTCTTTTCCTCTTCTCCTTTTTCCACCTCAGTGTATTTTTGGCGCGTGGTGACCCCCTCTGTCCCGCCCTGCCCTGCCCCCCTTCGGCCAAAGCCAATCTTCTCTCCACCATCTCAACAGCCTCTTTTTAACCGCCCCGCATCGTCCCGTGTCGTCACTTTCGTTTATGCCGCAAATTAACATCTCTTCTACTCTCCCTCCTTGCCGTCTCTCCCCACCTCATACCCCACCGCACTCTCCCCCACCTTGCGGTGGTAGCCGAGATGAAAGCCATTTGGGGTAGTGATGGTGATGACATCAGTGCACATGCCCCTAAACACACACGTGCATATGCTCCTGTTTACTTGCAATTTTGGCCACCGGCCAAAATCACTTTCATTGTGCCTGTGCGTCCACGTGTGCGTGCGTCCGCACCCCGAATTTCCCATTGGTCGGCAGGTTGACTAGTTAGTTGCCTGTCCACGGGCTACCCGTGCTTGCGTGGCGCGACAGTAGATGGACAGGCGGAGGCCAGGGCGCGAGAGGGCAGGCTACGTATGTAACCAACTCACCTCAGGTATCTCTACGATTGTGTGTGTGCGTGGATGGGTGGGCGCGTCCTTGTGGTGTCAGGCATAACTACTTCGGTGAAAGGCCATTCTCTCAGTCAGATGTAGAGGTAGCAATAGGTTCACTACCCTACTCTTGTCACTCCTACCCTTTTGGTCTCTGTTACACCTATTGATAGGTTGATATGACTTGGTTTGAGTTGCCCCCATCCTTAGAACTGGTACCATTCTTTCCAGCAGTAGTAGTTTCTCTTCTTCCCCATCTTTATTCTTTTGAGTGGATTCCATCATCTGCTTCGATTGACCTAGTTAGGTACTGAGACGGTATCTGCAATGATCTTTTTGCCTCTATCGGCAACCGCGCAGCTGCACGTCTACTCCAGTCGACTTGAGGCCGTCATAAATTTGGGCTTAGGCGGATCAGACTCACAAAATCAGCTTTCGTGCAGCTTCTACAACCATTATTCCTCCAGCTTCATGAATCCGTTCTGCCATTCCTCCGTCATTTCTCATGGTCGTGGTTGTAGATGGGTGGATATTGGAAACACTCGCCACTCTTCACACTAGCGTTGCGGTCACTTGCGAGCTTTGCACCTCATTCATGCAGAGCCTTGTCCCTCACACTCATTGAGCTGTCGTGCCGGCCGACGGAGACTTTCTGTATGCAATACCCTGTGCAATAGAGGTTCTTTAGCCATATTCACCTCAAAGGTGGCGACACCTGTCCAAAACTGCGCGGTCCGCCTATTTGTCAGATACATGATGCTAGGACAAATAACTACTGCCCCTTTTTATTTTCTCAGATAAATTGAAGGATGCTGCGACCCGTCGAAAGGCTCTTGACAGCTGTTTACTGCAAACACTTGGTAGGACGGTGTTAGAGAAGGCGTGGAGAGGGCAGCTCGTCCCTGTCATCAAGAGTCTGACTGACAATGACGACTGACTTCAAAACGTGTTGTTGGGGGTTGGCAACTGTGCTGCTAAAGAGTCGAATTTGAATACGGAAGTTGATTAAAAAATAGTTGGGAGATGACCTAGAGCGCCGAATTTTTTGCTACTTCTCTTTTAGACGATTGTCCCGGGCAGGGGAGCGCTCCATTCTAATGGCTGCTTTTAGGTTTGGAGGCACTTCCTGATCTTCCTTCCCGATTATTAGTGGACTGCCTTCACAGCTCAAGCAGTGGGGTTTTCGTCCTCAATGGGGATAATCCAGCTTTCCATCAAATCATCGGATGTGTCTCGCCTGTCGTTGTACCGACTAATACTGAGCACCCATTGGATAGTTGCCCTCCATCCACCACCCCCCAAACATGAGTCAAGTTAAGTCGGGCTGATTGTTGTTGTTGCCGCTGGTAGTTGGCGCCTCTGATGTTGTTGAAATTCCCCATCTGACTTGTGTTGAGACGTAGTTTTTTTGCCCCTAGAAGTTGCTCCAGCCATCCCCTAAGCACACTGTCCCATTACCGACAGAGAGATGTGGGTTCTGGGGTACTAGCAGCATAATGGAACGTCATATTTTTGTTCAATCTTTTTAACGTTTCCCAGTGCCCTCCGTTTGGTTCATTCTCCGATTCTCGCAACTTGGAGACGTGGGACTAGTTTATTTAGTAACCACCATGCACCCTGTCAAGGTTGGAGCAGTTGCAAAAGTGGATGCGGTTTTAATAACTTCCTTTTATGAATGCTTCCAAATTCAGTCGGCAACAATGCACTTTTGGGCGTAGCATCCAGTTGAATGAAACTGGATTATTGCTGTTTATTTGTAGTGGGTTTACTAATCCTGCCACCAATTTAACACCCCGCGTCACCCCTGAAGCCATAGGACCCTAAAAGTGGCTTTATCATCGATGCATGAAGGGCCCGGGAGTCCAGCAGCATGGGTAGTACCATCAAAAGAGCTCTATGCCATAGCTTTGAAGACTGAGTCCTGGGAGACTGAAGAGGCCTCCCAATCTAATACGAATGCCATTCTGGCACGCAATCTTAAGACTCACCGGTCTCTCTTGGAGTGATTTCCTTTAAAAGAGTTTATTTTCCATATCTCAGCGTTTCACTCAGGCTGTCTAGCACCCTACCAACTTTATCCTTTAAAATGGCTAGGCAGTGCTGGGTTTAGGATCTAACACGTCCATTCTGGCTCACCCTTTATCCATTAGCCTGGTATCACCTCACTTAAAGTTTAAGATCTCATATCCGGTCTGGGCTTCTCACTCCAATTAACTACCTCTAAAGGGGAGGGAGAAGGGAATCAAAAGCAAGTGACGTTCCTCCGTTAGCATTTCCACCTGCTCTATCGTGGTTCGGATCACGGAGCAGCTCATTGCCATTTGTAGGGACGGTCAAAGCAAACTGTTTTATGGCCAATGCG